AAAACTACTTGCCCCGGGCGATCGGGCGATGGTTGACATTGAGCCCTGTTGTGTATCATTTCATGGGCAATACGCTGCTGTGCGTTATGCATAAGTTAGGCTGTCGTTGGACATTAGTTCTGTATACGCCCAAAAATAAAAACAATACATAGAAAGTTCAGTGTATGCCAACATTTTTTGGAGATTCTGGGAAGTCGGGCATACGCTGGCTGAATCAGCAAGGTGTGACAGGGCTCCTTACTTTACAGATGTGGTAGACGATTTTTAATCTGGTTTGGGGATGAAAACACAACCTTCATTTGCTCTGGTTGTATTTTCCTATATAATTTCGTACATATGCACCAGATAACAAATGGTTTATTGAGACCATGAACACAGTGTTTTTACTGGGTGGAGACTTGCTGCAGCCGGACATCCCAAACAGTTTCCTAAAACTGCTCTCAGAGGGTGAGTTAATCACAAACTCTACTTGTTCAGCTAAGAACCTTTGTGGATATTTTTTTTATGTGCTGATTTTTTCCAACATGTCCAGGATTTGACAGTGTGGAAGAAGACGAGAAGTTGAGGCTGTTTGCTGTGAATTCATACGTCTCTTTGCTTCAAGAAGACTGCAGCAAACTGCCTCAGCGCTTCCTCCAAGTAATCTGCTGGGTGCGTTTTGGTCAAACTACGAGCAACATGATGCATAAATATATTTTTAGATGATTAAAAGGATCGAAGAAAGGAGGGAATAGTTATTTGCAGCTGTTCACTTCTTTACAGTTTACAGTCTTTTAGTCCAGTTGACTAAAAGCTTGTGTCTGGAGTTCCAAAAAAGTTAAAAAAAAGTGTGTTTCCATGTTTGAAGACGTTTCTCTTCCCATCCCATCTTCTGACATTTTGAATTGAAAAAGCTTCCTGGATGGAAGAGAAACGTCTTCAAACTTGGAAACAAAATCCAGTGGATTGATTTTTTTTACTTTTTTGGAATGACTCTGACCTGGATGACTGAGAATCTTCACCAGCAACTAAAATCTGCAGCAGTATTAAATGTTGGAGTGTGCAGGGACTGTGTCTCCTCTGCTAAAGTTCTGCTTGGTTGTGTTCAGGTTCTGGGAGAATTCTCTCGTCTACGGGAGGATCTGGAGCCAGAGGTGGTTTTGAGGCTGCTCGCTAAACTGCTGGACATGAGGAGCAGCAGCAGTGAAACGAAATGCTGGGTCCTCATGGCAATGACCAAGCTCTGCCCCGGCGGAGCGACTTCGACTTTGCTTCAGGAAGTGTCTGAAACATACAGCAGCTCCCTGGACACGGTGGTGAGACAAAGAGCTCAGGAGCTACAGATCCTCAGCCAAGACTCTGAGCTGCAGGCCAGGGTGTTACCCCGCCGTGCCAACATGGAGGCTGTGGAGGTAATACAAACACATGGCTCAGAGTTAACTACAGTAATCAAGAAAACAGGAAATACTGTCTGGAAAAGCTGAATGGAGCTAAATCGGTCTCAATTTTCACAAATACACATGTGATTCACACATGAACAAGAAACGATTCACAAACACATACAGCACGAGTCACGCAAGCGCACAAGATTCTCATATGCACAGCACATGATTCACTAAAGTATTTCTGGTCCATAAACAATTATAAATTAAATTATAAAGTACAAGTGGTCTTCAAACTTCACTGCATTCGCGTGTGGATTTTTGAGATTCTCTTGACGTGCCTCGATACACAAATGCATTTTGTTATACAGGGGATGGTTTGCAACCAATCACAGAGCTCCCTTCTATAAGCCAATCAGAAGAAAGTAATCCACCTGGGAGGACTATTCGTTCTGTCAGCT